CTCTCTCGGAGACCAGCTCTGACTATCCCACATCAAGCAGACTTTGCAGACCTCTCTCATTTCCCATCTTATCTTCCTGATCAACTTCAATCCTATCATGTATCACTCCTGCTCTCCTTATTCATTCATGGCCTCCTGCTCCCTCTAGAATAGAGCCCACATAACACCAGGTACACTGCTCCATTTGTTCAGTTTGTGAGTCCAGAGCCTAAAACAGAGCCTTGCACAATCTAAGTATGAATGGATGCTTATTTGTTGGGTGCAAGAATGGAGAATCTGCAAGTGAGAAAAGGCTTATAGACAGATGCGTACTGTGTCCTGCATGGTTCGAAGCTTCCTTCTGATACATGGAATCCTTTAAGGTAGATAGATATTATCTCCATTTATAGGAAATTGAGGCTCTGAGAGACTACATGGAGATCCTGATCCAGTAGCACAACATGAAGTTCTAACTGATCTCCATGAACATTCTACCACACACACTGGAAGTGACCAGAGCATACAATAGAATCCAATGATTTAGAAATAAGAGTGAAATAGTGAAAAGCATTGAGAACATTGTTTTGTTCTGGATCAACTAAGAAAAAAAATGTTCTTTTTGGCTTAATTTCCCCATCATTTGGTAAATTAATTGAAGATTGAAAATTCACACAGTAGAAGGGCAGGCGAGCTGAAATAGAAGAAATGTGAAATTTAATGAAAGAATGAAAATCATCAAAAGAAAAAGTAATAGTGGGCTACTGTGGTATTTTGCCGTGTGATTCAGGACTGAAAGTCATGTTGCAGATCAGGCTTGGAGGTGGAAGATGTGTTAACCTCCTTCCTACTGCTGTAGCAAATACCTTAGAGGATCAGCTCATAAAGAGAAAAAGTTTACTTCAGTTCACAATTCAGAGGTTGTAATCCATGAATGTTTGGTTTCATTACTTTTGGGTCTGCGGTGAGGAATGCCTGGTAGGAGTGAATGGTGAAACAAAACCACTGACCTCCTGGAGCATAGGAGTGTGAGGAGGGCCTGGCTCCACAGTCCCCTTCAAGGTCACACCCTTAGTTACTCAAACACCTCCACTAGGCCCTACTTTTAAAAGACTCCATCATTTCCTAATGACATCATCCTGAGGGCCAAGCCTTTAACTCATAGGCCTCTGATGGACTTTGAGGATCTGAACTAGCAGTGGACAGGACTGACGTGGGATGCTCTGTGCCTAGCGTCGTGCTTCCTGAGTGTAGTAGATGGTACTATGGTAGATGGCCAAAGTATGTACTAAATGAATGAATGAGAGAATTTAATTGCTTAAGTGTATGGAGATACTCTTTTTCTCCCATGTGCCTTTACTATGAGCAGAGGTAGGGATAGGAATTCTTATGGCTAGATGACTAGAACCCAGACCAGGGAATTTGCCAGATGAAATGCATAGGCAAAGCCCCATGGCCTGAAGTGTACAAAAATCCCTTACCTTCTTGCCTCATGCCCCCTAAGCTTGGTATGCTTTTTTTCCCCTTTTGCCTGTGGGGGAGGGAAGGCTTGGCTGTTAGTTTGAAAGAATGACCAACTCTTCCTGTTTTCTCTAATGACCCTGCACCAGTATTTTGTTGACCATAGTGAGATGTGGGGAGACCACGATTTACTCTATGGTAGATTGTATCTTCAATGATAATCGGCAATAAAAAATAGAGCCCCATTGTCATTTATTTCAATACATTTCAAACTACTAATAGAAACACTAGGAAAAATATCATGAAAAGAAAAAGAGATAAAAAGAGAATTTGTTGGATCTTCACCTTCCCGAAGGAAATAATTCAAGTATGAAAAGAAGAAACTAGATGTAGGTAATAGAAAGTCAAGGTATTTAAGGAAGAGCTGTTGTTTTATAAGATCTGAAATCTTGGGATGCAATAGAAAGCAGGGAGGGTGCAGCATCATGGACCAATGCAACCATTTACAGGCACAATTGTCAGAACAAAGTAGGTGATTCAATCCTCTAAGAACACAAAAGACAATAGGACAAGATTTGTCATGTACCCAGCAGAACAGCACCTGGGGAACTCTTGATTAGATGTGGAGAGTCCAGAACAGAAAGCACCAAAGATATATTTTAAAAGAAAGTTGTGTTACCACTGGAGTCATAGGCCTCCTAGACCCTAGGTTCTACAGTGGGTATCAGCCTACAGGTGATTTGGGGGTGTCCTCTATGGGCCAACACATGTGGGGAAGTTAGGGTTAGCAGTATGGGGAAGGAAAATTGAACCGTGAACTGTTGCAGCTGCAACAGAGGCCTTAGCATCCCACCAGGAGCTGCAGAGATGGCATGACCTTCTGAATTTAGGTAAGAGGATGCAGCCTTGTATCCCTGCAATGACCATCAATTAGAATGTGTGCTGCCCCTGGGAGCATGGTAGTACCCTTCAGCACTGCCTGTACAAGGACTCAGATATGACCCCTCCACAGCTAAAACTTTTGCCAATTGAGGACTAAGTGGCTGAGCCCAGAAGGGGTACGAGAGGGTTCTAACCAGTATATCTCCATGTGTCCCTATTGGAAGTAGCACTGGTTCTCCAAAAGAAGATGATAGATTGTTGTTTACCAACAATGCATCTTCAAGTGAAATGCTCTGTGGATGATCAACTATTCCTTGAGCCACTATAATAGCCTTTCTCTAGCACTTTCCACCTTCACATCTGACCCCCTTGAGACTACGAGTGGAATGATCTGAAAACATAAATCCAGTCTTCACATCCCTACTCCACAACCCCCAATGATTTCCTGTCTCATATATCATAAAATCCCAACTCTTTGACTTGCCCTTTAAGAAGTATGACTGTATATCATGCAAACCAGGCCACTTCTGAGAGTGAAAGGAGGCCCTATCCATAATTGCACAGGGACGAAAATCTCAACCATGACGATTTTTGACAAGCTGGGGTGTATGTCTGTCCATAAGGTACCTGACAACATGTTCACCTTTCTCATCTCACCCTCTTCCTGAAATCCATTTCCCTTTGCTTTCTACTAAATCCAGATACAAACTAAGCCTTTTCTTACCACAGGGCCATTGCATTTGTCACTTTTCTCCTCCTCCTCCGGACGAAAATCTCAACCATGACGATTTTTGACAAGCTGGGGTGTATGTCTGTCCATAAGGTACCTGACAACATGTTCACCTTTCTCATCTCACCCTCTTCCTGAAATCCATTTCCCTTTGCTTTCTACTAAATCCAGATACAAACTAAGCCTTTTCTTACCACAGGGCCATTGCATTTGTCACTTTTCTCCTCCTCCTCCCTCCTCCTCCCCTCACCCCCCCCTCCTCCTCCTCAGGCCTTTGGTGTTAGGTTTTTACATTTTATCGGCTGCTGTCTTTGAGCTTTGACCAACAGGGAATTCTCTGAGCTGCTCCTCTGGAGACGCCACCTGCTCCTCAGCCTGTGGACTCTGTGGACCACTAGCTGCTACTTCACCACCTTCACTCCTCCTCCTCCTCCTCCTCCTCCTCCTCCTCCTCCAATATGTCAGCTTAAAATGTTCCTATCCAGAAAGGCCATTGCATTTCTTCTGCATCATAATACTTCCTTATTTTATCCATAGCGCCAACCTAGATGTTAAACTCCATAAGAAAATGAATCTTGGGGCTGGAGAGATGGCTCAGTGATTAAGAACACTTGCTGTTGTACCAGAGGACCTGGATTTGATTCCTAGTACCCATCCATAATTCCAGTTCCAGGGGACCCAACACCCTCTTCTGGCCTCTGCTGGCATTACATGCACATGGTGCACTCACATACACACAGACAAAACACTCATACACATAAAATAAAAATGATAAATACAATATTGTTTAAAGAGAGAATGAATCTGCTCTGGCTTGCAAGCCTCTGTAAACACAAGCATTACCCAGTGCTCCTCTATTTGTGTTTGGTGTCAATAAATTCAACATTAAGTCAATGTGGAACTTAAGAAAATCTAAATCAAAAGTTGTATATGCAAATGACATACTTTCAAATTATATATATATATATATGTATACAAATGGATTCTTTTAAAGCAAAAGTATTGTGTACATGCCACTGTACACACTTTGGGCACTTCCCAAAGACCTGTAAAGGACAAACACGTCACATCACCTACACTGGGAATTATACAGGTGGCCGCTCACCCTCGATGTGTGGACATAGAGGAATGCAAAACATGAAGCAATCAATTTGCAAACACCTAGAGGATCACAGTCTGCTGGATAATAACCAGCAGTTTAGTGATGAGGAGATATTGTCAGAACAATCTAATTTCCTTTTAAGACAGAGGGACCTTCATCAAAAGCGTTTATTAAGTGTCTGTCTGCACACAGCCGGGAGGTGGGAGCAGGGAGGCTTGTGTTCAGCTGTGAAGCATCAGATTTAATATGTGTCTTGACTTTAGCTGAAATCTGATTTTGCTGCTGTGATAATTTCCTTTCACAGGTCAAGTAAATACAGTCCCTCACAGTAGATGGCAGTTGCAAAATAGTTACAGAGTTAATCTCAGAATAATCACCAAAGCCTTTAAAAATTGGAATAAAAAAAAAAAACCCTGATGATTAAAATTTGACCTTTTACTCAGGTGAAATAAGGTTAAATTTCCAGTGCTCTGCTTTCTAATGCCTAATTGTGTCCCAGAAAACAGAATTGAACTCCGATTACCAGCTGAGTTGTTCTTCGTCCATTTGCAATGGTTACTGAATGCCTTCATATGAGAAGGGTCTAAATTAGCTACTGTAAGCAAAAACTTTGATAGTCACACATGAACTCTGAGGACAGAATTTCAGGCTTAAAGAAATGCTCTTTAGATGTCAAGTCATGTGCACATTCCCAGATATCAGGACCAGGTATATCACCTTGACTTTTAGACAGACAATGCTTTGGGTCAAGCTGACACAAGCTCATCCTATTATCCAGCTGTACAGACCATGCACATGTGGGAACTGAATACAGAGCAGCTGAAAAATTCCACAACAATGAATACTTACAGAAATCTTAAAAGTGGCATCCTGGGTGATGAGGTCCTCAATGCAACTGATCCCAACTGTAGACATGGCACATGCACGTCACCAGGACAGGCTCTCAAGCCAACAGATGAGAAGGCTGAATCCAAGAAGTTAGCAGCAAGATAGGTGAGCTGACCTCAGCAACAGTATCCTATCCAAGAAAGATTAAAGAATAAGGCAGGACCCCCATACAGAGAAGCTTCAGCATGGGGAATGTTGACAAAATGATTTGTGTCCATCCACAGGGGTATAAGGGAGAAGTCACTACTGTTTCTTTATATACCCAATGTTTGTAAGAATTTCTTTTGGCTGAAGATCATCCTAGGAGCTGGGATAGAGCATAGACAAGCTAGACACCATTCTTGCCCCTTGTGGCTCTTACAGCTCTCAGAGATATCCACTACCCTGATGGGTCATTATATTTTGGGGCCTATGGAGAGTCATAAAGCTTGGAAATGAACTGGATTAAGAGGAGCTGAGATAGGGTTTGGTACAAAGTACTGTTAGCTATCCAAAGAAGATGGCTGTAGGAGCAAGAACTTCAAAAAGAATATCACAATCCATCTTACACTCTGTGATTTATTACTGCCCCAAGGGGGGCAAAGGACATTTGAATGCTTACCAGATTCAGTGGTGTCAGGAAGTCCTTCCCTTCATATCTTCTGGAGCATTGGCACATTTCTCATGCCCTCCATGCTTGCTCCGTTCTCTTGGTTTCGATGATGCGCTCCATGTACCTCCCCATTTGCTAATAACTGGCCATTTCTCTCCTAGGCCCCACTGTTGGCTCCTTCCTTCTCAATGATCTAACCTATAAATGCTGGGGTGTCCCAGGTTTCTGTCCTGGGCTCCTGTCTTTTCTAGTTGTCTCTAGTGCTCTTATCTAGTCCAAGGCTTGTGCCACCTTCATGCCTATGACCCCCATTTTACTCCTCCTGTTGACCCCTTCCAGAACAACAGGCCAATATCCTCCACATACTTGGCCCTACCTGTCAGCAGGCATCACAAACTTGAAGGTCCAGCCTCCTGTTACTGAGTAAAGACTGAAAAGTTACCTGGATTCCTCTCTCAACTGCCTCAACCTCCACATCCAGTTCATCTCAAGTGCTGTCACTTCCTCCTCCAAAACATACTCCTCTTAATCACCATGGCTACAGCCCAGACACAGTCTGAGTCATTACAGGAGCTTCCTAACTGACTCAGCTCCTTCACTATTCCCCCTTTTACCAGGGACAAGAACTCTATGTCCATCAGCCAGGGGAATCCATCTAATCAGGCTGCTGTTACTCTCCTGATATGAAAGTGAAGAATATCTTTCTTAGTATATTTAGCATAAAATCTGAATTCTTCATCCTGGGTTAAAGGCCCAACATGCTGTGTCTTTTGCCTCCTTCACCCTTACTCTGCTCCAGACAAAGTCTTCTGTTCCTCAGAAACATCATGTTTTGGCCTCAGGGGCCTCTGCACTTGCTTTTCCTTCTGCTTAAAGGACTCCCCCAATGTTTATGGACTTGATCTACACTGACACATCTCCAGCTTTCTTCAGTGAGGCCTCCCTGACACCAAACCAAGAGTAACTATAAGATTTCTCATTATCTCATACTTTTTTTACTTACCTACTTTTATTTTTATTTATTTCATTTTTATTTATCTATTTGGTATATGTGTATGTGTTCCTGTTTGGCACATGTCGAGTATGTGTGTATATGTGAAGTACATGCTCATGTAGAGATGAGAGGCCAATATCTGATGTCTTCCTTAATGGCTTCTTTACTTTATTTTTCTTCCTTTGAGCTGGAGCTGTGGTCCCTTCATTTTATTTTTGACACTGATTCTCTCACTGAACCTGGAGGTCATTGATTGGCTAGACAAGCTGTCCATCAAGCCCCAGGGATCCTCCTGTCTCTGCCTAGCTAGTACTGGGATCACAGATGCATGTTGCTGTGCCCATCTTTTTATGTGGGTGCTGGGAATCTGAACTCGGGTCCTCATGTTTGCACAGTAAGCATTTTACCTTCTGAGTCATTACCCCAGCCCCTCTCAAGCCTTTAAAAATGGTCTTATATATTGCTTATTGCAAGATGATACCTTGTTCATTATATATTTATTTACTTATTTTGGTTTGTGCTCATTGGAATACCAGCTCTAAGTGATCAGGGACAAGATCAGGGCCTCTAGAGGACTTGCTATATGAGGAGTTTGGTCAACATCTGTGGGAAAACTGAGCATGTTGGAGGGTGATATTATACAAGCCTGTCATGATGAGTAAATGTATCAGTTGTCTGTTGAGATGTAACAAGTTACCCAAAGGCTTGGTGTCATAAAACAAGAGGTGTGTATAATTGCTCACAAGTCTATGGGTCAGCCCTGGGCTAGGTTGCCTGGTCATGGTTTGGCTGATCCATGCCTCTGTGGTCAGCTGGCAGGCTGACTGAGGGTTGCTGGGTCTAGGCAGGCTCCAATCCTTTGTCAGGCAGTTGTTTGGCTGGAGCAATGGGAGGCATGGGCCATGTGATTCTACTTGCTCATATGGTGATCATGGGGTCCACAGAGAAGAGTGCTCAGTACTTGTTGAGGTCAAGGCCTTCCACTAGAACACCATTACTTAGACCTTGTTGTTGGTCAAAATGAGTCACAAGGTCAGCCCAGATTGAAGCAGTGGGGAAATAAATTTCACCTTATTGATGCTAAATGACATTCCAAGGTATGGCCACAGGCAGGGATTTAAGAATGGGGGTATCATCACAATCAATTTACCACATAAAGGGCAGCGACAAACACAGTCACTTTTCATCATGTTCTCTTTTGCAGACCAAGGTATAAAGAACACGTGTGAGGCTTTTCCACACAGAAATAGGAGTGGTCACAAGATTCAGCATGTCCCTGATCTCACAGAGGGGATCTGGCTTCTGGGTACACAGTGTCATAGAACAGTGCAAGCTCATCTGTGGCCAGTTGTTCCTGAGTCTCCCACACCACATGGAGCCAACACAACACAGGAGCAGGCCTAAAGCAGGAACTAATGCTTTCATGAACATGCCTTAGAAGGCAGCAAACACTAGGCTACTTTTAGCACGTAACAGCTCATAACATAGGTGAAAAACAAGATTAAAATCAAAGCACTGTCTCCAAATCATGGGTGGGGGAGTACACACCTATAATCCCACCCCTCAGGTGTTGAGGAAAGAGACTGGTAGTGAATTCAAGGCCAGCCTGGGCTACATAGTAAGACCCTGTCTCAAAAAAAGCATTACAAAACATAAAGGCATAGATATCTCTCTCTCTCTCTCTCTCTCTCTCTCTCTCTCTCTCTCCATCTCTCTGACTTTTACTATTTTTCTCTTGAATAGAATTCAAATGACTCAGAATGAAAAGGCCTTGACACAGGCTTCTTATGGTAACTCCTTAAAGTGATGAAGACAACATGTTCAGCCTTGTGTGCAGCGGAACATCACATCCTGAGAAACTCAAAGTTAAAGCAGAGACAGCTTTTGTTCCAATGGGTTCTAACCTTTTATGTAAGCTGGGGATGGGCTCATGGGCCCCCATCTTTAACTGAGAAGCTATTGACAGATTGATGGCTTCTAGGGGAGGAAGAAACAGTTTTCTTGAAGGGAATAGACCCTTGTAAGTTGAACATACTCCAGTGGATGGTCCCACACCCAGGAGTATATAGTCGGCACAAGCTGAACTCAGTGGGCTATTATTAAAAAATAAAAGACAGAGAACATATAGTTGGTTGTCAGGGGCAGTGGGGAGGTAAGAGGTGGATCTGGAAGGTTGGGGGAGTAGGGAGCAAATATGATCAAAATACATTGTATGATGTTCTCAAAGTATAAAAATATATTTAAAAATAAACAAAAATGTATGTAAGCTGTGCTGGTATGTTGGGAACTTAGCAATTATTCATAGTGCATATTGCAAAGATTGTCTGGAGCTTTCTGTAGACTTGCAGCATTTTGAAGCTATCTCTATGAGGATTTACCAGCAGGTCGCACACAGTATGGAAAAGACTTCCTAGTCCTGGCTCCCTGTCCAGTTCCCTCTCCCTCCTTCCCAGCTGTCTGTTCTATTTTAAGTTCTTTCTTCACACTCAGATGCAAGCGAATGGGTTTGACTTGAACATACTGATTTCAAGCAGGGGAAAGTGGATACTAATTTCAGGCAGTGAGAGTGGATGTCAGGATTCAACTTGACAAATAGTTAAGTCAAGTGTCCTTTGAACTCACTTGAGCTGAATGTTTCCAACCATCCTAACCCAACATCCTAACTCCTTAGCATAAAACACTAACATCCTTTTTAAATTTCATCTACTAAAAAAATTCTTTTGGGCCAAAGCTACATGATACCTCCACTGGGAGCCTTGTTCCTTTCTGTGCCTGAGAAAACCAGATCTGAGACAGATCGGAATGTCTCGGCAGAAGATGCAGGTCTCTACAGTGCCATTTCTTGAATCTGTCAGCCTTTAGGACTCTTTTGCTACTAGCACAGGAAAAAAAATCTATAACTCTGTTCCTTTGCACCTAAGACTTTCCTTTATTTCACAGATGCATTCCTGAAGGTCGCAGTCATGGTGTAAAGGTGGGTCAGAGTTGGAGGCCCCAGGGCTGTCCAGGATGTGGAAGTGAAACAGCAGTGCCAGGGTGGGGTTCTTAATGCCTCTTTTTCATGATATGATTCATGGCTTTCCACCCCAAACATGGGGACTTACCCAGTTTTACCACAGAAGAAAATGGATTGTAGGCTTGAAGGGCCAGAAAGGAAGGCAGAGGCATGCCTGGGATGACTGGAAACACAAAGAAAGAATTAATGATAAGGTTCACTTGTCATCCTCTTGGGCAGGATTATGCACAGAGCACACTAAGGACAGCATTTGACTATATCAGATGACGAGACTGAAGTTGAGTACGTGTGTAGAGCGAAGGCTCCCTGTCATCTCCCCTAGGGCCACTGAAGTCTGCAGACAGCAAAGGTGGCCTGCATGATGGGGTGAAGGGCAGTGTGGACAGTGGTGACAATCTGCTTCTATTTCTCTGCATGGAGAACCCATGTTCAGGTTCTTATGGTGACCAGGGCAGCATAACTACTCCTGATGGATCATTCATCTCATGACACTCTTGAAAAGGGATCAGAATACTCGGAACTTTAATGTAACTAAATGGTCCTCAAGCTTTACCAGCAGGTGAGCGAGAGTAAGGCCACATTTTATTTGGTATTTCAATCTCCACTAACTCTATAAAATGTCAATTTTCCTTCCATCCCTGCATCAATTCACCAAATAATATTACTGTATGGGTCAGTTTCTGCCACTGTAGAAAAGGTACTGTATCCTGTTTACCCACAAACTGACACAGATGTCCTGCTCTTTCCACCAACATTGTGAGTGAGTGAGTATGTGTGTGTGTGTGTGTGTGTGTGTGTGAGCAGCACTAAATGGTCTCACTAGAGAGAGAGAGAGAGAGAGAGAGAGAGAGAGAGTGTAGTTTGGACCCTGTCAGTACTCATAGGAACTGCATATTCCCTTAAGGTTCCCTCAGATCTTAGTAAATCAGTTAAAATAAATAATAGCAGTTTATTGGGTTTTGCCTGGTTTTATTGGTTGACCAGGTTCACATATAATTCCATTCCAGCTGAGACCTTGGTAAAGTCCTTGTTGTTTCCTGGTTGTGTTTTCCCAATGAGGACATGAACCACATGATGTGTCTCATGGAGTAAGATCTGTACTTCTTATAGGAGGCAACACAGTCTTGGAAAAGCACAGATACGACAAGCTGAAGATTAACACCAAGGAGACCCTGTCCAAGCAGGAGTCTAAAGGGGCTACCCTGAAAAACGTTGCAGATCCGGAAGTTTAAAAGTGGTACCTAGAGAAGATCGGAACTCAGGCATGTTGAGATAAGTAAATGGTGTTTATAGGTGACTGTCCTAGTAAGATGAGATTACCTGCTGCCTATCTGTGCAGGCCAGGGGCTGTCTGCCATGTGAGTAGGTTGGGCTGGCATGACGGACTAGACTAGGCATCATATAGTGCCATAAATAGTGGTTAAAGTTCCTTCTTGTACTCAGAGTATTATTTGTAAAACATAG